TGCTTAGTTTACATCATGTATTAGTTTGTGTTTAGGCCTGTTTAAAGGGAACTCTTTATGATAAGTCAATGGTAATTGTTATACAGTTGTATTAGCATTGGCACATCTCATTTCTATGGAGTTTGTTTAGCCATGTACTTTCAGTCATGGTTCATTGACTTTGAATATTTTCAAAGCTTACATGTTAAAGTGTTGCTATTTTAATTTCAACATTTGCATTATCGAAATTACAAAAAAGCGAGACATATCTCTGTGATAACAGTTTATGTTTCAATTTGTTGGTTTAAGGATTTCTTATGTGAAACGGATTCTGGTTGGTCGGAACGGGTATTTTTATACTAGATGATATCATGTACTAGTATATTACGACCAAGGTCGGAAAAGATATATCTTAAGGACTACCAACTCGCTCAACTTATGAGAAGGAAGTTTAATCCCGACACATAGAGGTTTGCCAACACGCCCTCTTATGAAAAAATCCCCAACATATTTTTTATACCAACTCGCCCCACTTATGAAAGGAGTTTAATCCCATTAAATAAAGGTCTGCCAACTCGCCCCACATATCATCGGAAAATTAAAGGAGAATAAAATCTTACTGCATTAAGGACTACAAATTCGCCAATCTTAAGAAAAGGTGTCAAAGAATAAAATCGTGAAGCATTACTGAAGGACTACCAACTCAACCCACTTATAAAAAGGAGTTGAATCTCGACAAAAAGGGTCTGCCAACTCGTCCTCTTATGAAAAGGAGTCAGTTAATCACATTGAATGAAGGTCTACAAACTCGCCCCACTATCGGAAGAAATTAAACCGCAATGAATTTTAAAAGGCCTACCAACTCGCCCTACCTAAAAATTAAATCAAAATTGATGAAAACCTTAGAAATACTCCTCAATTTGTTTTACTATTTTTCAGGAAGAGGTAATTATCCTCAAGTAATTATCAGCCTTTCTAAGTGTGGCGTACGATGTGATAATCATTGAACATGTAACTGGGACAAGCTGGCAGGACTAAATTCGTTGGGATATAACTCTTTTTATAAGTCAGGCGAGCTGGTAGTACTACATTGAACGGGAAATTAACCCTTTTTCACAAGTGGGGCGAGCTGGTGGAAAAGTGTGGCGATTTTGTATTGGTGCGAGTTTTGTTTCCTTCGTAATAATGCTGATTTCTTTCCCTTGACTCATTTTAACCCTTGTAGAGAAAGTTACATTATGTAAGTTTATCAGTAAACAACGATTTATCTTATTTTTTATAAGCTGAAATGCTAAATAATCTCAATGCTGTTATAAAGTAAAAACTAATAGGCACTGGCTACGGTTACATGGAAATGTAACAATAATAATTAAAATAATTATTGTTACATTGAGACTAATTGCCGGAATACAGGGTTGGGCAAGGAACCGATTAATTACGAATGTGACAATAATATTTGTGTCTCCGGTTACATAATTTGCGTTATTGTTACATTAAAGAATGCCATCAAAATAAAGATCTTAAACTTTAACCTTCTATAGTTTTGTTGCTTAATTCTTTGATATGAACTAGATAATATTTGTAATAATGATAATAATAAATTATTATAATATTATTTATATTCAACAAATTGTGTTTACATACATGACATAGTTTTAAGTATTAATTGTTTTGATGTTCTTAAAGATACAGTGCCGAAGGCGAAAAATTGTTCTATGGTTCCTTGTTAAGAACTTGGACTGTGAAAAGTGTAAACTTCTATGCATTTAACTGCACACCTACCCTTATTACTGTCGCTATACTTTGAACAATGGACATGATGGATGAAGTGTTTTGGGTGAAAAAATTAAAACTTCGGATACGCTTTAATAAATCGAAACTAAAACAATATCAAGACTCAAATTTTTAACTTAAAAAAAGTGCAGAATGGAATTGAACAGTATGCATGCAAATTCAGCAATATACAAACGTGCACAATGCCCGGCATCACTGGGTTGAAATGGCTGCTTGGAGTGGTTTCACCAAAAATGCGTCGGACTAAAACATCGCTCCAAAAACAACATACTGGATTTGTAGAAACTGTCATTGTAAATAAAAAATTTAGTACCATCGTACATTGCTGTGCATTGATGACGATGTAACAATAACGCAATGTAACCGTAGACACAAATATTATTGTTACGTTCGTAATTATTCGGTTCCTTACCCAACCCTGCATTCCGGCAATTAGTCTCCAATGTAACAATAATTTTTTTATTATTGTTACATTTCCATGTAACCGTAGCCAGTGCCAAACTAATAAGCAATTTACTTACAGTAAACATATTTGTCATTTAAATAACCATGAACTCCAAGTAGATCTACTCATCTAGACGCGGCAGCTAGTTGCCTTTGGAGAGGGATTGGCTGATGGCTTAGTTTCCATCCAGATAAATGTACTGTGCTATCTGTCACCAAAAAGACACAACCTATACAGCACAACTATATTTTAAATGGTCATACACTTGAATTAGTAACATCTGTCATCAGCTAAGTACCTTGGTACACACTAGTCAATACAGTCAAACCTTCATGGGATAAACATATAAACGACATTACATCCAATGGTAACACACCACTGGGTTTTCTAAAACGAAATCTAAAAAACAACAAACCCAGGCATACCAAGCACTAGTCCGAGATTACTATTATTACTATTATTACGACCCCAGCTTGTCTGGCAAAACAGCCCTTGGACGTCAGAGTAATCTCGGACTAACCAAGCACTCGTCCGACATAAACCAGTCTGTGCCAAACTTGAAATTTGAATTTTTCTACTATATATTCAACCAAAAAATCCTAAAAATTCTGTCTGAACGAATGATTTTTTGTCTGACATTTTGTCGGTCTGACAGACAGAGTTTGGGATACACTGCCAACTTGAATAATCTTGTTCTGTTTGGGACCCTCACACAACCGAATCGGTATCCAAAATTGAGATGGTCCAATGACGAGCTGCTAGGTATGTCTGCAATAAATATCATAATACAAGTAGTGTTACAAACATGCTCACAACATTAAATGTACCATCACTAGCAGAACACAGGCTACACACAAGATTGGTATACTAGTAATGATGTACAAAATATCATTCCATCTTGTTGCCACAATGCTATTCCATCAGTCATACGTACATAATCATATATACTCATAAAAGCAGACTCAAGAACTAGAAAAAAATCATCCACTCTCATATAGGCACATTCATACATCTAAGGAAGGACTCCTACAGATATTAATACTTTCTGTGTACAATACCAGTGGAAACTGCTCCCTGTGGTACTTTCATTCCACTGCGTTTTTATTCCGGGTAGCTGTTTTTCACTAGAGAATATTGGATGTAAATAGTGTGAAAGCGTCAATCTTGGTATCATTGTTTTTGTTTATATTCATGATATTAGACCGGTTTATTGTTAACATAAATAAATGGGTTAAAATTAGATTTTCAAGGAACCAGTTTAATTAATCTGAGTCAATCTAGCCAGGGACTTTCTATACTAAGAGAAATATATAGAAAGTCCCTGATCTAGCGAATAATCATGATTGATGATGATGAGGAGGATATTTTTATAACTTAAAATACTTTCAACAATAATCAAGACATAAAACTTGATATAAACCAAAGAGCAGATGTGTTCTTACAGAAAGTTTCAATTATAGATATTGACATAGAAGATATGATTTAATCTCCAAGTCAACCCGCGAATACACAGAAAAACTTCGGCAATTTAGTACATATACAAATAACAATTAGTGATAATTTAAAAGTATATGCCAATTTTATAGATTTACATAGAAATATTATTTAAATCTTATTCGTTAATAAGAATTATCATTGTGTTATCTTGTGTTTAAAATGAGTACTAAAACACTTCATCAATGTATGGATCTAAAGCACTTGAGTAATCAATCCCGGTATAAAATAACTAGTGCTATCATTCCAGTACAAAATCACTAGTGAAATCATTCCTGGTTCAAAAGCAATAGTGTGGACATTCCGTGGATGAAAACTCACCATTTATTACATAAATCAACTTTGCAAGTTTCGAATACATCAAAAAATATCAATAAGCCCAATTTTATATATATTTCCCCTTCAAAAAAACTTTTTTAGAACCTTATAATGACTGGTGGATGTTTTATCGGATAAAAGAAAAAAGTGATTTTTTGTTGGTGGATAAAAATCACTAGGTATTTTATTCCTCCGGATAAAGTGCACTGGCGGAATCAAACCACTGTTACAGTACTACATTTGTAGGTCAGGCCCAATCCATTGATAGATTCAGGGAACAGTAGATTCAGGGAACAGCTCACTTCAGCTGTTCACTGTTCTATTAATTAATAGCATTAATTAAGATTGTACACAGTTTTAATCACAAATTTGATATTTTCATTGCCTAATTTTGTAAATAGTTCACGTATGAGAACAATATGTAATCATCAGATGTCGATGGAATATTGTATACCAAAAGAAGAAGATGATAACATATTTTACAGAATTTTATTTGGTTTTCAAACATTCTTTTAACACATTCAACATGTTCAATGTGACATACTTTCTCAGTTGTTAGTTCAAGTTAATATAAATGAAACTAGAATTGAATGCCTGAATGAAAATGAATGAAATATTTAAATTTATATTTGATTTATGCCATTCATCTTGTGTTTTTGTGTGTGCAATTTATGAAAAAAATAATGGTAACAATATTTATTTGAGTGCTCTGACGAATTTTAATCCATTTGACGCTATTGATAGCTGAAAATGACTGTTATCTCCTGACAGTAAAGGGCATAACTACGTACCTTCATATATAGTATTGTAGTAGTAAAACTACCCTAACATGTAGATGCTTAAATGTAGAATATGTTGTAATTCACCAAAACAGTGTATACAATATATATATATATATTTTAAAGATAATTTACTAGGAAGGTTTAAAATGGTTTAAGTCTTAACTTTTTTGTGTTTCTTACAGAGATAAACCTATTATAAGGATGAATGTGGAAGAGGATCTAGTCACAATCAATGGTACTCTACACAGACATGTGGGAACAGAGGCTGTAGTCACAATCAATGGTACTCTACACAGACATGTGAGAACAGAGGCTGTAGTCACAATCAATGGTACTCTACACAGACATCTGGGAACAGAGGCTGGTAATAAACTGCATGAATGGGATGTTTGTGCTAGAAAAAATAGTCCCGGTAGAGACTTAAAGAGACACATGAGAAGGGAAACTGCTGAAAAACATCACAAATGTGATATGTGTGAGAGAGAATTTTCTAGAGAAAGTAACCTATTAAAGATACACATGAAAACACATACAGGTGATAAACCTCATAACTGTAGTGAATTTGGTAAGGAGTTTAGTCATCTTGGTAATTTACGGGGTCACACGAGAACACATTCAAACGAAAAAACTCATGTCTGTGATGTATGTGGTAAAGGGTTTCGTCATCTTGGTAGTTTACAGATTCACATGAGAACGCATACAGGGGATAAACATGATAAACCTCATGACTGTGATGTATGTGGTAAAGGGTTTAGTCAGCATGGTAGTTTACAGATTCACATGAGAACACATACAGGGGATAAACCTTATGACTGTGGTTTATGTGGTAAAGGGTTTAGTCAGCTTGGTCATTTACAGAGACACATGAGAACACATACAGGGGAGAAACCTTATGCCTGTGATGTATGTGGCAAAGGTTTTAGTCTTCTTAATAATTTACAGATTCACATGGGAACACATACAGGGGATAAACCTCATAACTGTGATGTATGTGGTAAAGGGTTTAGTCAGCTTGGTGATTTACAGAGACACATAAGAACACATATAGGTGATAAACCTCATAACTGTGATGTATGTGGTAAAAGGTTCAGCCTGCTTGGAAATTTACAAAGACACATGAGAATACATACCGGCGATAAACCTCATGACTGTGATGTATGTGGTAAAGAGTTCAGTCGACTTGGTGATTTACAGAGACACTTGAGAATACATACAGGTTATAAACCTCATGAATGTGATGTTTGTGGGAAAGGGTTTAGTGATCTTAGTAATTTCAAGAGACATATGAAAACACATACAGGCAAAACATGTAAACCTCACATTTGAAATGTTTGTGACTAAGGGTTTAATCAATTGAATAGTTTAAAGGGAAGTATGCAATTAACCTCATGACTGTGATGTACAATGTATATGGTACAGAGTTTGGTCAGCATTGTAATTTACATATTGACATGAGAACACATACATGTTATTAACTTCATGACTGTGGTGTATATGGTACAGAGTTTGGTCAGCATTGTAATTTACATATTGACATGAGAACACATACATGTTATTAACTTCATGACTGTGGTGTATATGGTACAGAGTTTGGTCAGCATTGTAATTTACATATTGACATGAGAACACATACATGTTATTAACTTCATGACTGTGGTGTATGTGGTAAAGGGTTTAGCTAGCTTAGTAAGCATGCTAACACATGAGAACACATGATTGTGATGTATGTTGCATATGGTTTAGTCATATATTCATGATCTTAGTAATTTAAGGAGACATATGAACATGATGAAAATACATACAAGCAAAGCATATAAATTTCACATTTGTAATGTATGTGGTAAAGGATTTAACTAGCTTAAATAATAATAAAATTGAGAATGGAAATGGGGAATGTGTCAAAGAGACAACAACCCGACCACAGAACAGACAACAGCAGAAGGCCACCAACAGGTCTTCAATGCAGCGAGAAATTCCCGCACCCGGAGGCGTCCTTCAGCTGGCCCCTAAACAAATATATATACTAGTATTTCAAAGAAACACATGAGAACACATAAAGGCGATAAAAATCATCACTGGTGAAGTATGTGGTAAACAGTGATAAAGGTTTCATTTTACTCAATGTGATTTACAGAGACACACAAGAACACATACAGGTTATAGATCTCATGACTGTAATGTATGTGGGAAAGAGTTCAGTCTACTTTGTGATTTACAGAGACACACGAGAACACATACAGGTTATAGACCTATTGACTGTAATGTATGTGGGAAAGAGTTCAGTCTACTTTGTGATTTACAGAGACACACTAGAACACATACAGGTTATAGACCTATTGACTGTGATGTATGTGGGAAAGAGTTCAGTCTACTTTGTGATTTACAGAGACACACTAGAACACATACAGGTTATAGACCTATTGACTGTGATGTATGTGGGAAAGAGTTCAGTCTACTTTGTGATTTACAGAGACACACGAGAACACTTACAGGTTATAGACCTCATTACTGTGCTGTATGTGGGAAAGAGTTCATTCTACTTTGTGATTTACAGAGACACACGAGAACACATACAGGTTATAGACCTATTGACTGTGATGTATGTGGGAAAGAGTTCAGTCTACTTTGTGATTTACAGAGACACACGAGAACACATACAGGTTATAGACCTATTGACTGTGATGTATGTGGGAAAGAGTTCAGTCTACTTTGTGATTTACAGAGACACACGAGAACACTTACAGGTTATAGACCTCATTACTGTGCTGTATGTGGGAAAGAGTTCAGTCTACTTTGTGATTTACAGAGACACACGAGAACACATACAGGTTATAAACCTCAGGACTGTGATGTATGTGGGAATGGGTTTAGTCATCTTATTGATTTAAGGAGGCATATGAAAATACATACAGACAAAACATGCAAACCTCACATTCATGACATATGTCAATTTGTGTTGTACCAAACAAATGTATGCAAATACATAACATACAGGCAAATTACCTTATGACTGTAATGTATGTGGTACAGGGTTTTGTTGGCATTGTAATTTACATATTGACATGAAAACATATTAATTTGATGACTGTTGTGTATATGGTAAAGGGTTTAGCTAGCTTAGAAATGTAAAGAGACACATGAGAACACATACAGGTGATTAATCTCTTGACTGTATCATGTGTATGTGGTAAAGCTTTTAATCAGCATGTTGACTCAATGAAACACATTGGAATACATAATGGGGATAAAACTCTGAAATGAGATGTTTGAGGTTTCGGGTTTAATATGAGTGATAATCTACATTCTAAAACACGTACTACATTTGTACTAGTAAATATATAATAACATGGATAATTTACAAAGATAATGAGAACGCATGCTAATGATAATTTATAGACACGTGAGAACTCAAACTAGTGATTGTTTACATAGACATTTGAGAACACATACCAGTGACAATTTACATAGACACATGAGAACACATACTAGTCTAGTGATGATTTACGTAAACACACATGAGAACCCATACTTGTGATAAGGGATAATTTACATAAACACATGAGAACACATACTAGTAATGATTTACGTAAACACACATGAGAACCCATACTAGTGATAACGGATAATTTATAAGACACATGAGAACACATACTAGAAAATAAGTGATAATTTACGTAGACGTATGAGAAATCATATTAGTGATAACTTACATAGACATATGAGAACACATTTATTAGTGATAATTTACACTGAGAACACATACTAGTGATAATTTACATAGACACAAGAGAACACATACTAGTGATAATTTACATAGACACATGAGAACACATATCAGCATGATTAGTAAATAATGGATAAATGTCATTCATCTAGAATAATAGAATACTTGACTGTAAATAATCTATGTGTAAATATCTGTTTTTGATTGTATTGTGATGTGTGTGTGGTCTCACTGAAGATAAGTTTTTTTGTAACTAACTATAATTGTTAACCCTCTTTAAATAAAGAATTAATACTAATATTATTATGATAATTATTATTATGATTGTATGAGAGTTCATCCAGGTATTTTACTATGTTATAAATAGCATTAATTGATTGATGGATTTTAAGCATTTTTCGTCACTTTCACGACCCCAGCGTGTCTGGTAAAACAGCCGTTGGACGTCAGAGTAATCTCGGACTAATCATAACGAAGCCCGTTTTTGTCTCGCCTGCGAAGAAAGTCGCAGTATGCGGGACATGGGTATTCTATCCGGCGGCATCGTAAACTATGTATTCTATCCGGCGGCAGCGTAAACTATTTGAATAAAGCTATATTTCAGATGGTAGAAGACCTGGATGTTTCATATCTTGTATATAGATACACAATGTTACGAAGTTTCCGTCTGTCATATGTTCAATGTCATTAACCTCATTTTCATGGTTCAGTGACTGCTTGAAAAAAAAATTGTAATGTGAATTTCTTACTTATTATGAGTATATACCGGTATATATAATATTCTTTGCATCATCTACATGTCTGTCAGACAGGAATCACCTGACCTCGACCTCATTTCATGGACCAGTGATCAAGGTTAAAGTTACGTGATTAGGTTCGTTTCTCTATTACTGAATGCAGTAGGATCACTATATGTGGTGAATGAAATGAGTGTAATGGGTGCATATCAGTCCGACAGGTTTCATCTGATTTTTGACCTTATTTTCATGGTTCATTAGTCAATGTATTTTTTTGTGTGTTTTGGTCTGTTGTTACAAGAATAATAAGCAACAGGTCAACTATAATTGGTGTATTGAATGACTTTAAGGTGTGCATGTCTGTCTGGCAGGCATTATCTGACCGTAACCGCATTTTCATGTTCATTGGTCAATGATACATTTTCGTAATTGTGTCAGTCCATCAGATACTATAAGCATCTGGTCAACTATATTTGGTGTATTGAATGATTGTATTAAGGTATACATGTAGTTCTAGCCAATATAACATGACCTTGACCTCATTTTCACGATTCATTGGTCAATTTTAAGTTTTTGTCTGTTTTTCAAGTACTATTATAAAAGGTCAACTATATTTAGTGTATACAATGATTATATACATGAAGTTCTCGCAGTATCATCTGACCTTGACCTCATTGGTCAATGTTAAGTTTTTGTTTTTCGGTCTGTTTTTCAAATTTTTGATGTAGTAGGTCAGCTTTATTTGGAGAAGGAAATTATTGTAAGGTGAACATGTCTGTCTTGCCTGGGTCATCTGACCATGACCTCATTATCATAGAACATCTTACAAACTTTCAACATAAATTTAATGATAACTAAAACAGACATGTGCACTCTTGCTGTTGGTGGAAGAAGCTGGTGTTCCCGGAATGAACCGACGACCTTCGGTAGGAAACAGAATACCTATCGTCAATTTAGATTTGATTCGATTCTATTCTGGTTTTAAACTACCGGCATGTTAAATATTTGAAAGTATTAATCCCTTTAAAATAGGTGTGTGATTAAGAATTGAGGTTTTATAAAAAAAAACTTGTACTCACGTGAGAGTACACACAGCGATTACACGTGTGATGAAGGTGTAAACTGACGTCGACCGTCAGAACTTGCAGCGAAAAGAAAACACATATTAATGTTACCGTTCATCCCTAACAATGAGCAAAACCCATATCGTATAAAAGATAAAAGCCCACTCCCAATGGTTCAATTCAATTCAATTCAATTAAGTTTTATTTAAAGTCGGTACCCAATAAAATAAAATTGAGAATGGAAATGGGGAATGTGTGAAAGAGACAACAACCCGACCAAAGAGTAGAAAACAGCCGATAGCCACCAATGGGTCTTCAGCACTGCGTGAAAAACCTCATCGTGAGGCTGGCTTCAGTTGACCCCTTAACAAAATTTGTACTAGTTCAATGAAAATTAACTTCATAAACACATGTATTTAATATTTCAATAACAGTCAGAACTTATAGACATGTGAACACATATGAATGTGTTGTAAATGTTTATTTTGTAAATGACAGTTAACGCTTACAGACATACGAACACATATAAATGTGGTCAATTGGTAAATGGCAATCAGAGATTACCCAGACATGAGAACAGTCAGAACTTACATAGACATGGGAACAGTCATAGCGTACAGAGATATGAAAGCAGTTAGAACTTAGACATGAGAACAGTCAGAGCTTACATAGACATGAGAACCGTCAGAACTTATAGACATGAGAACCGTCAGAGCTTACACAGACATGAGGACCGTCAGAACTTACATAGACATGAGAACAGTCAGAGCTTACAGAGACATGAAAACAGTCAGAACGTATAGACATGAGAACCGTCAGAGCTTACACATACATGAGGACCGTCAGAGCTTACACAGACATGAGAACAGTCAGAACTTACATAGACATGAGAACAGTCAGAACTTACATAGACTGGGAAAATCAGAGCGTACTGAGACATGAAAACAGTTAGAACTTAGACATAAGAACAGTCAGAGCTTACAAAGACATGAGAACAGTCAGAACTTACATAGACATGAGAACAGTCAGAACTTACATAGACATGGGAAAATCAGAGCGTACTGAGACATGAAAACAGTTAGAACTTAGACATAAGAACAGTCAAAGCTTACAAAGACATGAGAACAGTCAGAACTTATAGACATGAGAACAGTCAGAGCTTATAAACATGAGAACCGTCAGAGCTTACACAGACAAGAGAACAGTCAGAACTTACATAGACATGAGAATTGTCAGAACTTACAGAGACATGAAAACAGTCAGAACTTATAGACATAGGAACAGTTAGAGCTTACACAGACATGAAAACAGTCAGAACGTATAGACATGAGTCAGAACTTACACAGCTTTGTAAACACGCACTGGTAGAAACCTTAATAATCTAGTGTAAGCGTTCTTTGATCATGGCTCATCGACTGCCGAGACATAAAAATTAATGATTGTATAATATATATCTGCTGACAGCCAGTTCTTACATGTACAGAGACATGTGGACACAAAATGGTGATAAACCTAATTAATGTGGTGTAAGTGTTCAATGTTTTACTGACAGCCAGAACTTACAGAGAGACATGTGGACATATGCTGGTGATAAACCTAACCAATGTGCAGTAAGGGTTCAATGTATTATTGACAGCTTAAACCCACAGAGAGACATATAGACACATACTGGTTATAAACATAATTAATGTGGTGTAAGTGTTCAATGTTTTACTGAGAGCCAGAACTCACAGAGAGATGTGTACATATACTGGTGATAAACCTAATAAATGTGATACTAGTGTTCAATGCTTTACTGAGAGCCAGAACTAACAGAGAGACATGTATAAACATACTGGTGATAAACATATTTAATGTCGTACGTGCTCATTTTTTCACTTACAGCCCGAACTCACAGAGAGACATGTAAATTACACATTACTGGTGATAAATTAATGTGGTGTTGGTGTTCGATGTTGCCTGACAGTCAGCTAGAACTAACCAGAGAGACGTACGTGTGGCTACATGCTGGTGGTAAACCGTTACCAAATTAATGTGTTGTTAGTGTTCAAAGGTTTTTTTTAATTTTTCTCAAAAATCTATATGAATTACCACTTGACGTCAATTCGTTGTTTACAATTAAGTAGAACACATATAATTGAAAAAAAATGAAAAAAAAACCCTAAATCTTCGTGTTAACCAGAGACCTGAGCTATCTATATTTAATTATCTAATTGAACATTTTTACTGAACATAAGATTATTTTCCTCATTTTGTGTGGTTATAGATGGTTGCATTGTAAAGTAAATAAACATTATCTCCGTTTTTTAGGCTCTCATGCATATTTTTCTTTAGAAGACAAAGCATTGTCTTTCAATGTTGTCATAATTTCATGTAGATGCTTGACCTCTTTATAAATATGCTTGGGTCTTGAAGTTGACAAATTTTGGTAACTTATCGACTTGTAGGAGTCAATATTTGCAACTTTTTAATTCAGGTCAAATATTTCTTGCTTTACACTAATTGACTTATTGAAGTCATAATTTGTCTTAAATTAAAGGGAGACAAATCTTGAAACCTACAAATTTAGACCTCTATGAGTCAAAAGCAGATTTAGACTTATTTACATGTTTGTCTGAGCTCTGACTGACTAGTCCAACACCCCATTAGTTTCAACATCATTTGGTCCGACACCCCATTGATGTATTTACATTTGTATGCTAATTTATCCACCGTTACGTAAAGTCACACAGGTTCCCGTAAACTTTGACATCACAATAAAAAAAATTGCTGTCACAATTAAATAGTGATTGCTGCTCATGCTGCTTGACATGCTTGATGTCAGAAGGTTATTCTGAGCAGATTTAAGGTCATTCGGAGCTAAATTCAGCTAATTACCAAAAGTGTAAATACGTATATTTGTCCGACAGCCCAGTAGTCCAACACCCCAATAGTCTGACAATGAAAGGTGCATTACTGCTGTTATAGAAAATCAATTCATAGAATCGTTGTTGGTGTGGTATTTGAACAACTCTTTCTTATATAAGTATGTCAAAGAAACCAAAACAGAGGATACCATACCACCCAATCTAATCAAATTCATATTTATATTAACTCTGGTGATCTCATACATGATGGTGTTTTTATGGGAAAATGCACTACTCTTAAAAGAAAATGCAAAGAATATTCCCCAGTAGTGCAGTCTGTCATCTTTCACGTAATTTAGTCTCGGAAATTGTCATTACTAAAAAAGAATCATTTTACCCTGCAAACATGGCAAAGGGAATATTTTATACCAAGAATGATTTTCATCTACACCATGTACACTGTACATGCAAGTACATGAAGCACTTGGGCAGAATCAATTTGCGCCAATTGCAGTTTTGAAAAGGTATCAATTGCGCCACTCTCTTTTTTTCTGATGGTATTAATTGCGCCAATAAACAGAACCAAATTGCGCCACATTTACCTGTATATTTTTTACCTATATCATACATGTATCCGTTAACCTATCCACTTT